CACACCTGCAGTCCTACTTATGCCAGAGGCTGAGGCAGGAGGATTCCTTGAGCCTGTGATTTCAAGACTGCAGTGAGCCATGATCATGCCACTGCACTGCAGCCTACGTGACACAGCAAGACCTTGTCTCAAAAATAAATAAAGAAAAATAAAATAAAATATCCCCCAACAATTTAAATCAAATAAAAGACATGAATGCACCAACAGTTTTTTTGTTTTTTGCTGTAACTTAGTGGTGGTAGTAGTTGGGGAAAGTGGGGGTTGAAAAGATAACTTCAAAGTTTACACAGAAAAATAAATAAGCAAAAAACAGTAGGAAAGATCCTGAATGAGTACTGAAGGAATCTGTTCTCCTAGATATTAAGACATATTTTGAAGCTACAATACTTAAAACAGTGTAGCACAAGTACATGAACGGAAAAACAAAGCGATGGAATGGAACAACAAACCCAGAAGTAGAGTGAAATACATAGAGAACTTGAGAATATGATAAGGACGACACTTCAAATTGCTAGAGAAAAGATATCGATTATTCAATAAACATTATTGGAACAACTGGCTGGTCATTTGGATAAAAATAAAGCTGATACCATCTGGACAAATGTAAAGTTCCTACTACATACACACAACACAAGGTAATTCTAGATGTCTAATAAAAAAGAAAAACCACGAAATGATCAAAGTACTAGAAGAAAACATGGGGAAAAGTTTTAATAATTATATCACTAAGAAAGTGCTAATTTTCCTTAACATATAAAAGGTTCCTATAAATTAAGAAAAATACCACCAATCCAATGGGAAACTGGGCAAAAACACAGACAGATGATTGACAGAAAATGAAGTATAAATTGTTCTTAAATATATAAAAAGATGCTCAGTATCACTCTTAACAAGAGAAATGCAAATTAAAAATATGATACAGCATTCATCATTCATCAAACAGGCAGAGAACAAAAAGTGTTATAACAAATTATTTAGGTAAGGCTGGAGAAATAGGAATTCTCTCATACACTGCTGGTAGAAGTATAAATTGTTACAGTCCATTTACGTGGTACTAGTTAACTCAATTATGATACCTCCTCATAAAGAAATATTATGTGGCCATTAAAAAGAATAAGGTAACATCTATATGTACAAATATAGAATAATCTCCAAGATAAACTGTTAAATAAACAAAGCAAGTTATAGAACAGGGTGTATAGTTTGCTATCATACTGCTACCGTATATGCTTGCATATCTAACATATCCTGAAAGGATACATATAAAACTGGTAATAGGTACTGCCTATAGAGAAGAGAACTAGGTGGTTGGGAAATAACAATAGAAGGAAGAGTTTTTTTAAAATTACAGCTTTTGTACTTCTTGAGTTTTTTTTCTTTGTGTACATAATACTTATTTTAAAAAATCAGTGAACTATATATATTTCAAAGTAAGGTTACAGCCTAAGGCTATGATTTGCCCTTATGACTAAAGGCTAGGGAACTGGCCCAAGAAGGAGGCGTGGATGTCTAACTGGGAAAGAAATATTTCTTCTAATAAAACAACAAGGATATCCCAAAGGTTCTGGTGGATGTTTAGGGCCCTTCTGGTTCTCATGTTCTAATTTTCTAACATTTTGTCAACTTCTTTATGAGGTCATCTTACAATTATTCAACATTTAATTACTGAGCACCTGCCATATGTCAGGTATTATGCTAGGCACTGGTACCGTATATGGTGGTGTTGAGGATACAGACGTGTAAACAGCCAAGTATAACACAAAGTGATTGCACCATGGTAATTCTTTGATGGGCTTAAGAATAGGGAGCTATAAGAGATAATGGGAGTGTCTAACTGGTTGCAGTGAAGGAAGGCTTCCTGGAGGAAATGATGGATAAACTGAGGCCTAGGAGGCAGAACAAAGGAGAGAGAAAACAGTACATATAAAGGCCAAGAAGTGAGCAGCATGTCAGGTTCTTCAGAATGTGTAGGGCTTAGCTTATCAGGGATGGTACATGAGCAGGAGTGTGCTGAGAAATTAGTGGAGAGGTAGGCAAGGCCCAGACCATAAAAGGTTTTATAGGGCAAATTATATTTAAATCTTATCTTAGGAAAATAAAAGTAAATGAGAACATTTGAAAAGTTGCATTTTTAGAAAGCCTCTCTAAGTGAAATATGGGGAATGTATTGTAGGATGTCCAAGATTAGAAGAAGAGATATAGTTCAGAGCCCCTGAAATAATCTAGGAAGCTTGAACTAGTACACTGTCAATGTTGAAATAGAGAAGTGGGTAGATTTGGGAGGCTTAGAGTACTTAGGAGGCAGAACCTACAGGACTTGAATGGGTGTGAAGATAAGAGAAGAAAAATGACTCCTGGGAAACTGGTTGGATGATGGTACCAATTATGGTGAGTGGGGGGCAGGGAGGGGCAGGCAGTTGTTCAGATAGTAGGTTTAGTGTTAGATTTTGTGAGTTTGAAGTATCTGAGGGACATCAAAGAAGAAATACATGTGTCTCAAGTTACTGAGATCTGGGTTGATGATAAAGATTTCTTCTACTTTCTCTGTGAAATAGGAGATATTCTAGAAATAAGAAAGACTAGAAAACTTGGTAGTCAAAATTAATGATGGTATTACCATGATTTATAGTAACATCACAATTGTGTGAATTTTTGGCTTAAATCTTTTCCAAGAACCCAGGTGTAGATGTGTAGAAAGCAGGCAATTGGATGAGTCAGAATTAGAGTTTTGCCGGGTGGCCGTGACAGCTGAAGAACAGGAAATGGGAAGACGATAATAGCATGAGAGCAGATGAAGTTGAACTGAGATGGAAGAAGGTAGATAGTCAAGGGACAGGGAATATCCATACAGTCAAGTAAGAGACGTAGAGTGGAATGAATCGGAGGGTGTAATTAGAAATGAAAATTTCAGACTTGATAGAAAGATCCAGGGTGGGCCTATGAGGCCTGGGGGACTGGGGGGGAATGGATGTATATGGCAACAAATATTGTGTAAAGAAAAAGCATTTTGTATCTAACATACTGAATTAAAAAGCAAACTCCTAGAATAAGACAAGTATGTCCACTTTTGCTACTTCTATTCAACATAGTACAGGAAGGCTTAGCCAGAGCAATTAGGCAAGAAAATGAAATAAAAGGCACTCAAATCAGTCCTCAGGATGGCTATTATCAAAAGCACAGAAAATAACAACTGTAGACAAGGATGTGGAGAAATTGGAACATTTGTGTATTGCTGGTGGGAATGTAAAAATGGTACAGCTGCTGTGGGAAATGGTATGGCAATTCCTCAAAAAACTAAACACAGAACTACATGATCCCAGCAATTCTACTTATGGGTATATACTCAAAAGAAGTGAAAGCAAGGACTTAAACAGACATTTGTACACCCATGTTCATAGCATCATTATTCATAATAGCCAAAAGGTGAAAAACTAAGTCTCCAACAATGGATATTTGAATAAAAAAAAGTGTGGTAAATACACACAATGGAGTATTATTCAGCTTTAAAAGGGAAGGAAATTCTGACACATGCTAAAACATGGATGAATCTCAAAGATTTTATGCTAAGTGAAATAAGCCAGTCAAAAAGAGACAAATATTATATGATTTCACTTATATGATGTACCTAGAGTAGCCAAATTCATAGGAATAGAAAGTAGAATGGTGGTTTCCAGGTGCTGAGGAAAGGGAGGAATGGGGAATTCGTGTTTCATGGGTGCAGAGTTTCTGCTGGGGAAGATGAAAAAGTTTTGGAGATGGATGTTGGTGATGGTTGCACACAATGTGAACGTAGTTAAAGCCACAGAACTGTACACTTAAAAATGGTTGAAATGTTAAATTTTATGTTATGGATAGTTTGCAATAAAAAAAAAAAAGAAAAAACATAAGGGTAAATCTTAATGACCTTGGATTTGGCAATGGATTCTAAGGTATGACACCATAAACATAAGAGAAAAAAGAAAAAAAATTGACAAATTAGATTTCATCAAAATTAAAAACTTATGCATCAAAGGACAATATCAAGAAATGGAAGAGAAAACTCACACAAAGGGGAAAAAATATTTACAAATCACATATCTGATAAGGGCCTAGTATCTAGAATATGTAAAGAACTCTAATAACTCCAAAACAAAAGACAAACTCACTTTAAAATGGGCAAAACTTATTAAACATTTCTCCAAAGAAGATATACAAATAGTCGACAAGTATATGAAAAAATACACAGTATCATTAGTCATTAGGAAAATGCAATCAAAATCATACCACAATGATGTATCACTACATACCCACTAAGATGACTACTAAAAAAAGGGAAAATAGCAAGTATTGGTAAGGATGTGGTGAAATTAGAAGTGTGGCATAGGTGGTGAGCTCCTGTGGAAAACATCTGGTAAGTTCCTCAAAAAGTTAAACATCAAATACCACATATGACCAGGCACTTCTACTCCTAGGTATACGACCAAAAGAACTGAAAACAGGTGTTCTAACAAAAAACATGTACATAAATGTTCATAGCAGCATTAATCACAATTGCAAAAAAGTAGAAACAACTCAATTGTCCATCAACTGATGAATGCATAAACAAAAGGTGGGATAGGCTTATAATTCAGCCATAAAAAGGAATGAGATACTATTACATGCTATAATATGGATACATTTTCAAAACATTACACTATGTGAAAGAAGCCAGACACAAATGATTACATATTTTATGATTCCGTTTATATAAAATATCCAGAGTAGACAAATTCATAGAAACAGAAAGCAAATTAGTGGTTGCGAGGGTCTGGGGTGAAGGGGAAATAAAGTGACTGCTTAATGGGTACAGGGTTTCCTTTTAGAGTGAAAACAATGTTACAGAACTCTACAGCAGTGACGGTTGCACAATGTTGTTAAATGTACTAAATGCCATCGAATTGTACACTTCAAAATGGTTAATCAAGTAAATCTTATGTTACGTGAATTTTACTTCAATTAAAAAATAAAAGTTCCACTCTTACCTGACAGTTAATGTCAGCTCTATATTGTAGTAGGACTGTGACTAGTTCCTTATGTCCTCGGTCACATGCCCAGTGGAGTAGAGCTCTACCCTAAAAACACAGAAAAATATAAATGAATGATCCAGCTTGGGGGAGGTATGAAAAATTACCTGTGGAGTACAATGTGCACTATTCAGGTGATGGGTACACTAAAAGCTCACGCTTCACCACTATATAATATATATAATGGAATTCAACTCGTACATTAAATCTATTAAAATGTAAAATGTTTTTAAAAATATAATGTGTTAAGAAAGACAAAAGAAATATGTAAAATAGGTTAATTATCCTAAGAATGATTGATTATAAAAATGTGCTATGGGAAAAGCAATAGACAATCAACCAACTGGAAACCCTGAGTTCTACTTCTGGATCCATTATGAACTAGCCCAATGACTTCTTTCAGTCAAATCAGTTGCCTCACCTACAGAGTGGAGACGATAGTAATAACAGCAATAATATCAATAATATTTACTGAATAAATGAGCTACAAGAAAATGCTTTGTAAACTGTACTTTATAATAAAATACAGTTTTCTTAAATTCTGTTCACTTCTTCTGGTGAAAGAAATCTTATGAATAAAAAAAATGTCCACTTAAAAGCTAGGTAGAAATCATAATGTAAATGTACTATATCTAAATTTCCTCAAGTGTATTCCTTAAAAAGAATATTTAACCAGTTTGAAAATTAGCGTTCTCTGTAATATTACAAATTTATACCTGAAATATCTCAAAACACTAGTACAATCTACTAGTATCTATCATCAGTTGACTGTGAAAGCTACTTGTAAAAGACAATGGATGATTAATGATTAAGAGATAAAGTACTAAATATGAAATATTAATTTTAACCCTTGTCTAACAAAGACTCACAGTTACTATTACATGTGTTATTTCTATTCTCTACTGTCAGAAAATCTTGGTCTAGTTAACGAAAGAAGCCTACCTGGTGAAAAAGAATAAACAAAACCCCAAAAGCTAAAAGCTTTTCTTAAGAAATGAGTGATGTGTGGCTTAACACTACTTTTTGAGGGTGGTAATGATGTTGTCTTTTACAAAGAATGGAATGTTTTCCCACATTAAGTTGAAATCCCCGCTTTATGTCATTTTAGATAAGATTTAAACAGACATAGGCTGCAACAAGGATGGCTTTAAAGTAAAAAGTACTTTTCAAGAAAGCTTTCTAAACCTGCCTGTATTCTTTTTTATCATTCAGACTCTTTGCACACCTATTAGTTCAACTAATTAAACTGGGATCTATTCTTTAAACAAAATAAGAGTAGGAAAACTTCCCTACAAATTGTCTTCTTCCTTTGCTTGATTTGCTTTTATTTACCTGTGAATACCTGTTTTCCAATAGGCTTATACAAAATCCTAAAAAGGAGGAAAGCAGAAAATTTGAAAACGTGGGCAAATGACTCACAGTTTGTTGTAGTAGCAAAACTATTTTATTTTACCTTGTTCGGACCCCCCAAGAGTTTTTGAAAATGGAGACAATTCCACACGTCTAGTAAAAAATGTATTGTTGAATACTAGAACAGAGTTTCTCATGTTAAAATTTCTGTAGCTCTAATGTGACCTGCTGTTACTAGGGTAGTAATTCAAAAATCCTCCATATGAACAATTAGACATTTTAATGAAATTCTCTGAACAAATACCAATGAATAAAATCTTCTATAGTTCAATGTAACTGTTTCACAGCTTTTACATTAAAAGAATCAGACAAAATTTCAAAGTCCCTATTATTTTTAGTTCTAATTGTAAGTATATATTTTATAAACTATTAATAAGAATTACTACATAGTTAAAATGATGTGTGATTTGCTCACATAGGGCACTTACCAGAACTTTCTAATAGTAAAGTAGAAAAATATAATATTAATATATCTAGTACTTTTACCACAAGATGTACAGATAATTTCTATCTCTCAACTGGGTGGGTTCCTGATTTCTCTTTAAATTTGACCCATTATGGTTACATCAACTAATGCTAAAATATAAATCCTTAGCTGTTTCAATGGCAAAGCAGATAAGCAACACATTTTACAGTTAATGGGAGTTATATTTTAAATTTCCTATATGTGGTGCCAAAAATTTACTTTAGGGGAAACACCTATGACTGGACCTCAGTACTGATTTTCACTTTGGATATATTTTCCAGAAGGGTGGCACACATATAGCAATGTTTTAAGAAGGGTGATGTGCTCTCAGACATTTACACTATGCTTTTTAACACGTTTTTTGACCTGCAATGCAATTAATTTTTGTAACACATTATTTTAATGGTACACTAATTAACCTTGAATTAGAAGGAATTCTCTGACGATGACTTTCTGTAGAAGTGCTGATATCTACATTAAGACCACCTAATGACTACTATACTCTGCAGTATTAAAATGTTTAAAAACAAGAGTAGACTTGAATATGCTTGTAAATAAACATAGATAAACAAATCAGACTTTGAAACTTTTACCTTCAAGATGCTCTATATTTAAATGAACAAAGACCAGCACAATGAAGTATCTAAATGTGATACCTTTTACTTTTTCAAATCATAAAGTTCCTATAAACATGTTCTAATTTAAGATTATTATTCAAGTAATAACATAACCAGTAATTTGAAGAGATAATATCCTTATAACTAATTATGACAAAATCAGGAAATAAACACATGTGGTTTCTTTCCTTTCTCTTTGTTATCTACATACATAGACCAATACAATATAATCAATAATTTATTTTAGATACAGGATACCAGAAAGAAAACCATGAATTAGGTACACATTAAAGCTATATTTGCTTAAAGACTTCATGCAAATTTATGAAATCTTTTATCTATTTGTATATATAGTTGTTTTATCTTTTGACATAAGTGATATAATCTCTCATAAACATTTATTTTTATTGCTACTTCAAAAAGTGACAATTCTTTCTTTGTTTCTAGTTTTTAAAACTCTTCTGAAAAATATCCCAGAAGTATTTAGGAGATTGGTGGTGGGGGGAGGGAGTCATTATTAGAAGGAATCTTTGTTAGGCAACCAGAAGGCCATAAGCACTGTTTGGAGAGCTCTGGATAAATTCTGGAACTCAAATACAGTAAAATACAGGGAGTAAAAAAGAGTTCTCATCTATTAACCAAAGGTGCTAATACCATCCTACTTCAGACAGACGAATGACTCTAAAGTGCTTTGAAAGTGCAGGGTAGCAGCTAACCTATTAAGTGGTATTATTTTTATAACTTCTGGAAAATACAGAGAGCAGGTCTTAACATTTTACATGTTTCTTTGATCTCCATAGTTGCTTGCCCTTAAACCATATAGAATTTTTTTAAATTGGATTTTTCTCCTGGATATCACAAAATTAAATGAAAAGCGATTCTAGTATAAAATGAGTCACTGTTCTTATGGTATTTTGAGATCAGCTACAAAGAACCAAACATACAGTAAATAAAAACATGGCAAATTTGGTATATTTAAGTTCGTGAGAATTATTATCTTGACATTCTATCAAACATGTATGGTTATGGTACTGCCTAATTTGCAAACGAAATACTGAAAATCAAGTGGACCTGAATTTCTCTCTGCAAAAAATGTGGGTGTCAATTTACAATTGTAGTAGAGATTAACTACTAACAACCTACAATGTCTCCATCTCCTTTATCCTATCCCTATCTTCTACCCTTTGCGGCTGCGGCTGCTGTAGCAGCTGGCCCACAGTGAGAACTCCCCTACCTGCAACCACTGGAAATCACACAATGCCTCCTACTTCCACTTCCCTCTCCGTAATGAAATGACAATATTGTTTCAAAAACCCTGACAGGAGTAAGATTGGGAGACAGTTTAAGATCTCAAGATATACCTAGCATGGAAGCCAATGGTTCCTTGTGGGATTTACCAGCATTAAAGAAAACCACACACCAGTATGTGTGATACACACTTCAAATTGGCAACTATTTGATCCCTTTCACTGGCTAAGATCTAGGATAGGGAGAGGTGGTGATGCTAAGTTGTCAGGGAACTGAGAAAGATTTAAAATACACTACTTTTAAAAAATCCCTTCACAAGCATTTACTAAGCCATAATGTTAGTGACTTAAGGGTGAAAGAATAAATGAGGGAGATACTATTTCATCTATATAAAACAGGTAATAATAGCAATAATAATAGGAAGTTGTCACGAAAACAGCCCAGATATCCATGATAAATTCACGTGATAAAACATTAATCAGCAATATAAAAGAAGGAAGTACTGATATTTAACAATATGGATGAATCTCAAAAACATGCTGAATAAAAGAAGTCTTACACAGAAGAGTACATGTGTATAATTCCATTTATATAAAGTTCTAGAACAAGCAAAACTAATCTGTGGCAAAAAGAATATCAGAATGGTAGTTATCTTTCAGGGATTAGGAGAAAGGACTGGCTGGGAAGGAGCATGAGAGAACTTTCTGGGGTGATAGCAATGTCCTATATCTTGACAGGAGCTTCAGTTACACAGGTATATGTGCTTGTCAAAATTCATCAAGCGTGTACTTAAGATTTGTGAATTTCATTGTGTATAAATGTTATCTTAAAAGAAAAACTAAATACTGAATTCTAGTTAATTATATGCATGCTAAAGCATTTAGAAGGAAGTGTACTGTTGTCTACGTAGTGTAAAATGCTTCAAAAAATAAGAAAGTTGGTGGACGGATAGATATTGATAAAGTTAAGTATAGCAAAATATTAGTGGTAGAATCTAGGTGGGAATACAAATGTTCGTCGTAAAGTTCTTTCAACTTCTCCATATGTTTAACATTTTTCATAATAAATTGAAAAAAAACCAAAATTTTTACACCCATATTCATATTAATAACAAAAATATGAACAGCATTCACAATAGTCAAAAGGTGAAAGCAAACCAAGTGTCCACTGATGGATATCTGAATAAAGAGAATGTGAGAATGTGTTGTATATATACATACAATTGAATATTATTCAGCTTATAAGGGAAGGAAATTCTGACACATGCTACGACATAGATGAAACTTGAGGACATTATGCTAAGAGAA